CACTTCCCGCAAAATCACATGCCACATCAACACCTTTCCATTACCAATGGCGCAGGTGACTGTCGCAGACTTGGCCCCGGTGTTCTGGATGAGGGTCGTGGGCGGCTTTGTGTACCGAGCAGTGAAGATTCGACTCCTTGGCCGGTAAGCCCCACGCACCTGCCGACGGGCCGCATAGTCCCGAGCTTGCCCTGTGTGGTACACCTGAATTGTTTTGTTGTCGATGAAGGCGTGAACGTACCGGTTCCATTGGCCAGGGCTCCGGTGCGTGTGTTCCAATGCCCATTGCTGCCTTTCTGTCACATCTGCAGGAGACAAGTCTGGTTTCTCATACAGCGGTCGGAAGTGGATACCGCGCTGCCAAAAAGCCCGACTGATGGACTTCTCACTGCACTGCAGCTTCATGTAGCGCTTCAGCGTCTCGATGGTGATTTCCTTACCCCGCGACTCCCGCAGCAACTTTTTGTGGCCTTTCTTTCTGAATCTGCTTGAATTTGGCCTCTGTGATGACCACTGGCCGCCCGACATGTTGAGGCTTCTGGCGCTTGTTCTTTTTGAACAAGTGCTTGGAGACAGTGTCAGAGGACCGGTGCACAGTCGAAGCAATGGCCTTTACACCAAGACCATCATCATGAAGGGTTTTCATGAGCTGGCTTTCCTCAGCAGAGACATGGCGGAAGGCAGCGTCCGAATCCTTTTTCATTGACTTGAGGTGGCCAATCACCTGTCGGATGGCCTTGGTTCCATAGCCCAACTGCTTCACGCGGAGGTGAAGCAGACAGAGAAAGCTTTCGTCGCTCTAGCAGACAAGACCAAGCCAAGAGTATTACAGAGGAAGATGTTGGACGTATTTGGACATGACGTGTGTTTGCAAAGACAATTACAGATGTAGACACGACGCCTGGAGACAGTAGATGGACAAGACGTTCAGCACAGGATGACTACAGATGAAGATGTTAAATTTGGTGCTTGCAAAGGCAGGACCAGGTGAACCCGCGGACACCATTGTGATTGAAGCCTTGCAGCAGACACCGAGACGTTTCTCTGCTATGTACAGTCATCACAAGTGCTGTTCTACCACAGAAGATGAAAACTAAGTACTACGGATGCAGACGGTAGACTTGATTCTTGCAAGCCAAACATATGCAAACGTCACACCTTCAGACAGTAGATGGACAAAATATTCAGACCCCTGTATCAATAACTTTGGTCAACCCCTGCCCCTCAAAGGTCAATGTTGAACATGACTTGATTGAATTTTGTGTTTCCAGGGTTTGATTTGTTTCGTCCATTCGCCGAAAAACACTCCTACAAGATCTCTAACATTGAGCTTTGGGGTAGAAGGGGTCCATGTGGTTGGAAGGGTTTGAATATTTCGTCCATCTACGGTAGTAGCGATGCCAGGAGCCCCTTTTAGCGAACATTGTTCCTAGTAGCGATGCCCTTTGCTCCTAGTAGCAAGAATGCTCCTAGCAGTGATGCCAGGAACCCATGCCAGGAGCCCAGTAGCTTCTTGTTACTAGTAACGATGCCGCTCCTAGTAGCGTCCTCTTGTTCCTAGTAGTACGGCCAGGAGCCCCTAGTAGCGTCCTTGCTCCTAGCCTTCTTCGTCTCCTGGACTCCTTCCATCTCACGCACTCCCCTGCTGTCGGGTGGTACGTCTCCCTCCCGGATGGTGTTGATCGTGTTTTTTTGAATATTGGATGTTTGACCATGCTTGACAGTGTTTAACTATAGTATTCATTATTGCTTGCCATGAAAGGTATCTATACAACTGATCAGTAGTATCCAGTCCACTTCGCATAGTCTAACGAACTCTCTCAACCCTCAGCACAGGGCCAGTGAACTGATCCGGCGCCTCATTGAAAGAGTAGGGCTACTGGTGAACCCACAAGCTTTGCCAGGGTTGTCATGAGCGCTGTTGAAGGCAGATAGGAGTACTATAGAAGACATGTCGAGAATAATTTTTTTGTGGATAATTACTGTCGGTGACGTCCTTGGGCGTAGCATGGCGTAAATTTTGCAACAATGTAAGTAGCATAGCTAGTAGGTTGGAGGCCATCGCTAGTAAGTAGCATAGACTGATAGTTTTGGCTCTCGCCCCCGATCCAGGTCTCTTTGACGTCTTCGGTGCCTGGAAGGACCTCCGCGACGCTGCGGTGCAGCTGCGCCGAGAGGCGCAGACGGCGCAGACGACGCGCAAGTGGTGCCAGTCGCCGAAGATCCAAAGATGATGTGAAGATGATGTGTTTGTGTTTGTTTGTTTGGTTTTGTGACCTCCAAAGACACATAAAATATCTTAATTGCAATTTGGTTTCTGGCATTGTCAATTTGGCACTCCAGGCATATTGTAAGGGTGAATCCCCAAGTAGACTAAGGTTTGGCACAATTGCTAGTTTGTAAAGATTGTAAAGTCGTGATCGGTTTGAATGGATCGGCCACCTTTGCCTGTTGAGACCTGCCAGGTGCCTGTGTTTCCTATGTCGCCGGGGTTTCCTATGTCACGGTTGAAACATACTCCACAAGTCCACTCTTTTCGCAAGACAACCTTGTCCTCAAAAATTCACGTCCGATGTGGTTTATTTATATTATGTTTGTTTGGGCAACCCTGATTCAAGCAACAACAACCCCAGGGTTCGGCTCTGTAGTATCGATGCGACAGCCCAGGATGGCTCTTACGCAGGCCACCCAGCCCAGCGTGATTTAGAGCTCCATGAAAAAGGTGTTCAAAGTCCCAAGTCCCTGTACTGGAATCCGATTCCGCTCCAAAAGGTTCAGACCTCTTGTATAGAGGTCTCAATTGACCTGTAGAATCCGTTGCTATCGTATGCTTTGCAGTGAGTGCATGTGAGTGTTATATTTTATATTTCCTCTTCACCACCAATCACGCAAATAGCACCGCCAGCACTGCCTCATTCGTCACGACTCAGGATCTCGTCGCCCGTCGCCGCCAGGCGCTGTTCGACGCCTTGCGCACGCAGCTGGACATGGCCCAGCGAAGGACCCGTGCCGCCGAGGTGGCGACTTCTACAGGTCGGTCTGGTCGATTCGATTTGGATGCTTTTTTTCAGCAGGTCGTGTTTTTCTTTGAATTGTTTTTGGGGGTTTGGAGATGGTTGGCTTGGTGGATCGGTCGACTGTGGGTTGAGACCGATAGTTCCGATAGTTGTGGAATAGCTGAGCCCTCATGTCCATGGTACATGGGTACCGATGATCAACGTGTTTGAAGCGGTCCTGGACATACAGATGGTGCATGATTAGGGTTAATAGATGTACTGTACCTATATGCATGGTTTTACTGTGGCATGCGTTTAATGCTATGTCCCTCAACCTTTTTGGAAGGAGACTGGTTCCACGAGCAAAGTCACCCCCACGCACCACTTGCCAGTCTAGACAGTTATGGAATGTTATGGAGGCATTCTTGCGGAGAGACAGCCGAAGCAGTCTTGGCAGACTCTCTTTGTGTGCGGCGAAGCTTTGCAGCACCAGCATGAGCCCTGGTTTTGCCACCTGCAGCCACAAGCTGCACCAAGTGCGACCAAGTGTGCCTCCTTAGGAGAAACACAGCCGATTTGGCTCTTGTGGCGCAACTGACCCGCCTTGACGCGACTGATTTGCGATTCAGCAGGTCTCCGCTTACGATCAGTGCATTGTGCGTATCGCTCCATCAGCAGTGCGAGTCCTGCTACCAACCATTATATGGGAAGTACCTGTGGCCTGCAGTTTTGTAGATGTTGAGTCTTGGGAACGATTGGTTACCATCTCCCCACTCCGTGGACAATCGGCAAAATTTGTCCCCGGCCCTCGATGCCAGTTATAGTCCCCGGCGTGGGAGATCCAACACAAAACCACGCCATCAACCTACTGTATCGCCATGTTTGGCCATCATGACTTTCGCAAGATATTAGTTATGTGTTTCCTTGTGATATCCAGGGAACCCCATGTGCATGTGTTTGTTCAAACACGTTCCCAACAAAAAGAAACGTGCATCCATTTTTTGTTGACAAACATGGCTGGAATTGCTCCGAATATTGGGTTTGATTAGTTTCCAATAAGCCGTCGATAATCTTTGGATTTCATATAGGTACGGTTTTGGTACGGTATGTTGTTCTTTGTATTAGCCATACGGCTTAATACGCTCGTTCTTTGAGAGAAAATTTGTCCAAATAATTATGCATTCGCGCAAAAATACGTTCATACACCTTTCCAGGATGTTTGTAGGTCAAAAACAAAGACCCAATGGTCCATATATGATCGGTTGGCATGTTTGGGCGCGTCCGACATCCCATGGACTTCATGTTTCCTCCTCAGGTGTGGTGCCATGATGCAAATCGCCTTCAATCCATGTCTATCCTATTTGGCTTGTTACCAGTAGCGATGCACTTGTCACGAAAGGTAGCGGTTACGCTACCTGAGTTGTCTTTGCTTTAGCAATAATGTATTGGGGGTGGTGAAGTGGTCCGGTGCTTGATTTCGGTCGTTTAAGAGTTGGATTTATATAAATGTCGGGGGGGGGCCGGCCCCCCCCCCTCCCCCCCATTCGACTCCACCCTGCGCCGCGGAGAATTTGGTAGTGATCTGAGCAGAAGCAAGCAGCAGCAGCAGCAGCAAACCAGCAAACCAGCAAAGCAGCAGCAGCAAAGCAAATAGGTAGCACCAGCACCAGCAGTAGCAAACGAGCAGCAGCAGTGGCGGCGGCAGCAGCAGCAGCCGCAACAGCAAAGCAGCAGTTGCAGCACAGCAAAGCAAAAAACAGCAGCAGTGGCACCAGTGGCAGCAGCAAGGACTGCAACAGCAGCAGCAGCAGCAGCAGCAGCACCAAAGCTCACACAAGTTTGGCCTCCACAATCTTTGGTTTTCGTTCAGTTTTTTTGGGGTTGCGCAGACGAAATTGAAAGTCGGGGGGACAGCAAAGCAGCAGCAGCCTTCAGGATTCAAGCAACAGCAGCAACCAGCAAGAAGTAGCAGCAGCAGCAACAGCAACAGCAACAGCCAAACAGCAGCAGCAACCAGCAGGAGCAGCAACCAGCAGGAGCAGCAGCAGCAGCAACCAGCAGGAGCAGCAACCAGCAGCAGCAGCAGCAACCAGCAGCAGCAACCAGCAGCAGCAGCGGCGGCAGCGGCAGCGGCAGCAGTGGCGGCGGCAGCAGCAGCAGCAACAGCAAAGCAGCGGTTGCAGCACAGCAAAGCAGAAAGCAGCAGCAGTGGCACCAGTGGCAGCAGCAACGACTAAGCAACCAGCAGCAGCAGCAGCCGCAGACATGCTACCTTTCGTCCACCCCCATCTCCTCAAGTTACTAGTAGAACATGTCAATAAATATAGCATCCCATCATCCCCGGAACATGTGAAAGGCTTTCATCACTTGTTGGTAAATGGCTCCCCTCTCTTACCCATCATCCACTGTGATTCGGATCGCCGTCGATCCATTTCCGGAGGTGCACGTGGGCCTCTTCGGGCCTGGGTGCTGCTCATCCTCAGGTGCTCCGTGGGGTGAGTCACTCGTAGAGGGCACTCGTTGTGCACTGCTTTGTGAGACATCCTCCCATGCAACCCCTGTGGCTGGTCCTTTTCGTGATGGTTTGCTTTTTTGGAACCACAAAGCAGAGGACTTCCAGAGCAAAAAGATGTGCTTTTCTCTCCGAACGTCCCTGTGGTTGGAGGCTGCTTGTAAATGAAAGATTGGCCTTTGAAGGCATTTTTGGCTTCCAATATGCTTCCAATCTAAAAGTTCAATGACCGGGAGAAGAAATCAGATGCAGTTGGCAAATTAAATCTGTGGAACGCAGAGACCCTGCCGTACTATAGTGGCTAGCCTTGGCCATTGGCCATTGTTGCCCATAATTTTTCCAGCGATTCGCAAAGTGATGAAGACTCATGAGAGTTGCTTCCAGGAATTTTGCAGAATCTGTGGCTCAACCAACGGGCCCAGAGAAACATCCCATCGTCGTCGAATGGTAGCGATCAGCTTCATTTCTTCGGTGGATTGGCCAGGACCTGGCGTTCAGCCGCGGAGCTTTGGCGTCTCTTGGAGTGTGCGAAGGGGCGAAGATGGATGGTGGGTGAGGAATGCAAGCAGAGGGCTCGAAGATCAGACAGAAAACCAACTCCGTGCCCCACATGGATTTGGATCAAAGCCAAACAGTGCCGGCCCGGAGCATAACAGGCAAGTAAGTTTGTCGACACGCGGGTCTTCATCATGTGGCGACACCCGGGGTGGCACGACAGCCAGGACTGGGATGTTCAGTAGCAAATGTTTTGTTGAGAATTGTGGGTCGCTAGGTCCCAGTCAGAGGGCACTGGTCACCGCGTGTTGTTTGGAGTGATACTGCAGACCACCACGACCCAATCGCGCTGAGCGAAAGCATCAGCTTTGGCCAAAGAAAGCCACGTCGTTCAAGAAGTTCAGGAAAAGTTTTCCCTAAACTGGCACAAAGTCGTTTTGTGCTTTGTTTGACATGCACTGCTGGCCCGACATTCAAACAAGTAAAGTCTTACAAGAAGGTACATGTCATATTCATATACAGTAGATTAATTACAGTAGATAGTTGGACAATGGCATGCAATATAGTCTATAGTTTATCCTCCAAATTACCGGACTGTGACCCCCTGGCGCAGGGCCAAGCACTGCTTCTCTTGTTTATCTTCAGGCGTTTCCGAGCGAAACCCCAATCGGTAATTTCTTTCGATGACTTGTTTAATTGAGGATATTGAGGGAAACTTCTGGAGCAACGGCTTTTATTTGTGGTAGTCAAGATTAGTGAAAGGGGCGTTCCTTTTCTATAGCCCAATGTCAGATTTAGAAAGCGAAACGAGGTAGGAACACCCCGAGAACGAGATGGGCATCAATTGCACCATTTGTTTGAAATGGTTTAGTTAATGACATGTTTAGCTGGTGAAACGAGGTAGGAACACCTCTCGAGAACGAGATGGATATCCATTGCACCAAACAGATACAGGAATGGAGAACGAGATTACACCCCAAAAACGATGGGTTATTGGAGAACGGGGTAAGGAAGGCCCATGTGATAACTTAACGGAAATAGTTTCCATCGCTCATATGGCGGGGCGTCGGAACCCTTTTGAGATACCAAAAAGATCCAAAAGGTTTGTCTATGAGTCTATTCCTTGCAGGGCTTGATAGGCCTTGGTCAACAGTTTGTAAAGGTGGCATCTATTTTGGTCATGACTCTTGCGTGAAATAGTGGAAGAGGCCCAGCAGCTATAGACGATGCAAACCAATAAAATCCAGTCGCTGGACAATCTGTTGCACCAACGTAGAGACCCAACGAAGAGACCAAGTGGGAGTCAGGGGGGTTCAAAATGGTCCTCAATGTTGTTCATGAACGGCGTGAGCAATGTGCTAATTGTGGCAAACAACCTGGAACAGTGAATAGGTGTGAATAGCACTTAGCAATACATCCCCCTGGCTTTTTTGGATCTGGACAATGTCAATAAACGGACTCGCTCGACAAGCTTGTGTGACTCCCTCCTGAGGTCAGCGGCAGAGGTGCAAGTGAGAGGGTCTAGGGGGCCTGTGACATTCCTTTTTGCAAAGGCTTGCCCCAGAAGCTGACAGAACCTTGTGCATAAAAGAATGGTAGAGAGATGCAACAGAACAATGGACATGAAATCATCCTTCATCCGTGAAGATCAAAGCCTTTGAACTCAGCCTGCACAAGTGATTGGAACCTGAACTTTGTTGACCACCTGTGAAGTTTTTCATGGTGATCAGAAACCAGTTTGGATGATTTTGGATGCTTCCAAGTACTTTTGCAATAATTTTGTGAGGCTAGATGGAGACCGGGCAACATGGATATACTCCAGCCTCTTCTACCCAGTACTGAGCTGTTTGCACATGTGATGTACCACATGTTCTGTTTCATGGAGCTTTTTTGGTTTGCCGACAGAGTGCAGGTACGACTTTTCCGGTGATAGTAGAAAACCGCCGACAGCGCAGAAGCTACTACATCCTCACCACTGATCCAAGCAACTGGGGTTCCGCTCCACGTTTGATTCCTCACCGGTCACAGGTGTTTGATTCTGGAATTCCTGGATCCATTCGGGTAGATCCACACGGCGCGCGTTCGGTGAGGCTCGCAGAGGTGGCCTTCCAAGAAGAGCTCAGACGAAGAGCGTTCAGAGCGGCTTCGGCAGAGCTGGAAGAGCTTGATGCAAAGAACCAGTATTGAATGGAGGTAACCAATGAGAAAGCAACACTTTTTCCTAGCGGCTAGCGATGGCCTCCAAGCTAATAGCAGTGGCCTGTCCCAATTGAGGTTCTCCTGGCGTGGAGAAATTTCCATGAGAAGACCCCACGTGAGCCTGTGCAGCCTGTGGCCGCACCCATGCTCGAGAGTCTCTTGGCCAAGGACAGGGTTTATCCTGAGCTAACAACATTAAACCACCAGCAGTTGAGGCTAGTTGAGGCAGTTTGTTTGTCAGACACATTTGACCAAATGTTTTGTAAGGGTCAGAAGCCAACTCCAAATTTGACCTCTTCCGGACTTGAGGCTTGTTGGTGGATCTTCAACCAAAAGAGAAGCTGCTCTCGCGGACCCGACAGCGCTCTCCTTTGCGCACTGCGGAGCAGCGCAACGCCAACGGCGCAGTGCTGACCGCGCAACGAAGCCCACGCCATTTGACCTAGAATATGACGAACGGGATCGGAATGGGCCTAAATTTGCCTAAATCCTTTGTAAGATCCGTATTTGTAAGGGGCCTCCGCTCGCCATTTTGTTTGTTTCTTTTTTTCAGGGTTTTAGGGGGGTTGGTAATTATCGTCCTCTGGAGTAGTAGTAGTAGTAGTCGTCGTCGTCGTCGTCGTCGTCGTAGTCGTAGTCGTAGTGGTAGTGTATAGTGGTAGTGGTAGTGGTCGCGGTGGTAGTAGTAGTAGTAGTCGTAGTCGTAGTCGTAGTGGTAGTGGTAGTGGTAGTAGTGGTGGTGGTGGTGGTAGTAGTAGTAGTAGTAGTGGTAGTCGTAGTGGTATAGTGGTAGTGTGGTAGTGGTAGTGTGGTAGTGGTAGTGGTAGTGGTAGTAGTAGTAGTCGTCGTCGTAGTAGTAGTAGTAGGAGGAGTAGGAGTAGGAGTAGTAACAGTAGTAGTAGTAGTAGTAGGAGTAGGAGTAGTAGGAGTAGGAGTAGTAACAGTAGTAGTAGTAGCAGCAGTAGTAGTAGTAGTGCAAAATTTATCTGGATTTCAAATCAGGATAGAGCCAGATAGCTAGGCAGAATCCCACGAGCTGTTGACATGCGACTGGCTGGAACAAGAATGTACGCAGCCTGCGCAGCCAGCTTACGACACCTCGCACAATCAGCTGACACCAGCGCCCGACCAGCGCCGCCACCCGTCTTAAAAAGGCGCTCAGCCAGCTCACAGCACCAGCACCCAGGACCACAACACCAGCACCAGCACCGACACCCTTTCAAAAGCGCGCGCAGCCAGCTCATTCTTGCAGCAAGAGCCCCATGGCTATCCCTACTTGGGGAATAACAACGTATGATCTTGCGCGTATAAGTTTATGCGCACAAAAGTACACGCGCAAATAGCAAAGCCCGTAAGTGTCATTGGCCCAAGGCCAAGCAGTATCCAGCGCCCCTATTGACTTTGTAGCATCCTTGAAGCAACGATCTGCAGAACGTAAGGCCGTATGATATTGCGCGTATAAGTTTATGCGCACAAAAGTATGCGCACAATCGGCAAAGCCCGTAGGCTTCACTCGCCCAAGGCCAAACAGTATCCAGCACGACTATTGTGTGTGTAGCATCACTGTATGATGTTGCGTGCATAAGTTCATGCGGCCCATGACTGCTTTCAAAGGCAAACGGAAGGGTAGTGCACAGAAAGGGTTTTGCAAAAACCTATTCTACTAACGTCGTGGAAGGCGCGTGACCTTCGTAGAACCCAAGGCTGTTCGTGGACAGTTCGTGGAATGGTGGGCCAGTATACGGAGAACTGACTGCAACGAAATCCCAGAAACCAAACCCTCGCATGCTTCGTGGAAGGTATTTTTGATGCACTGTCTTCGTCGTATAAGCGATTTTTGCTGATCCCCTTTCTCCACACACCCTCCGTTTCGCCTTCATGCTTGCACTTCATTGTCAGAAGCGGCGCTTGGTCGCCCTTCACTGCTGCAAGCAGCGGTTTGTTACCCTTCACTGTCGGCTGTTGTCACTTCACTGTCAGAAGCGGGCACCAGCACCGAGCACCGGCACGCCAGCTCACGGCACCAGCACCCCGGAAAAGCACCAAGCACCCGGCACCCTGTCTCCACGCACACAGCCATCACCCAGCACCGGCGCCCAGTCACGCACACTGCCAGCTCACAGCACCGGCACCGGCGCCCGCTGTCTCTACCATGCGCACTGCCAGCACCCAGCACCGGCGCCGTGTCTCCACCACGCGCGCAGCCAGCTCACAGCACCCAGCACCAGCACCACAGCCCGCACCAGCGCCGGCACCCTGTTTCCACCGCCCACCAGCACCGGCAACCTGTCTCGAAAGCGCGCGCAGGCAGCTCATTGTTATTTGAATGAAGGACCACATATAGCTTCGCTATCTGGACAAAAAGATCGCCACATATATGCAAGCTGCACCACCAGCGCCGGCACCCAGCACCAGCACCGGCACCCGGCACCAGCACCAGCACCAGCAACCTGTCTCCACCACGTGCGCAGCTCACAGCACCAGCACCCGGCGCCCAGCGCCAGCACCGGCACCCGGCAGCGCCAGCAACCTCTCTCCACCATGTGCACAGCCAGCACCAGCGCCAGAACCGGCACCCGGCACCCAGCAACCTGTCTCCACCACGTGCGCAGCCAGCTCAGAGCACCGGCGCCGGCGCCCGGAACCAGCGCCACCACCAGCACCAGCAACCTGTCTCCACCACGCGCACAGCCACCGCACCCAACACCCAGCACCCTGTCTCCACCACTTGCACAGCCAGCTCACAGCACCGGCACCCAGCACCGGCGCCGGCGCCGGCACCCGGCACCAGCACCAGCACCAGCAACCTGTCACCACGCGCACAGCCAGCTCACAGCACCAGCAACCTGTCTCCACCACGTGCACAGCCAGCTCACAGCACCAGCACCGGCACCCAGCACCAGCAACCTGTCTCGAAAGCGCGCGCGGGCAACTGATTGTTATTTGAAGTGATAACACCATAGCTTCGCTATCTGGGAAAAACATTATAGTTGTACTACAATCAATATTTCACCCAACAAATACTGATCTAACATTATGTGGTTCCAAAAAGGGCCAAAGAACAATCTCTCACACGAAATGGAAACATGTAAGTCAGGTAAAGATGAAGTGATGAAGTGATAAGAAACTACAATTTGAACCGTCTTTACAATCCCAGCGAGAAAAAGAGATGATGAGGAACATGCTCGATATATCATTCCACTGTGCGCATGACCGACGTTTCGCCAGGTGCCCCCGGAAGCTCGTGAATCTTTTAGGATACAAGTTGAACATAGCTGAAGTATCGTGGGTGTAGACTTGTTCTACCTCTTGTGTTTCTGGCAATCTCTTTGTCTCCATCCTTGGATTGTGGTGACTTTGTCTCCTGTCTTGGACTGGGATTACTTTTTCCCCAGATAGCGAAGCTATAGGGTTTCTTACTCCTGAAAGGATGGGTTCCTGATTGCGGAAATTGGCTGCCGCTGCCGCTGCCGCCTTGCCAAGCTTGTCTCCCTTCATGATTTCGCTCTTGGCTGCCGCTGCCGC